TGTATAAGATATAAAAATTTGGGTCCCTGATGCCCCTCAGATGAACGAAATAAATTAGCTTTCAATATTTTCACCATGTTCCTCTCAGAAGCCAGAACTTGATTTGTGGTTGTTCCATTATTCCAGGTAACAGGGGTGGATGGTAACAAGCTAGGATTTCTTCCAATGTCATCGTAGAAAATCGGACACAGCCAAGGACGTCACATGCAAATTCTTCTCTTTCTAAAAACTCCACGCTTATCCATTTTAGGGCAGCCAAAAACACAATCACTTCACTATTTAAAAAAAAAAAACTTTACCTTAATATTCATATAGCCTATTATTCAATATCATTTTACCGATTCTTATGCGGTTTAGATAATTTTTCATTAACTGCTGTCTTTATCTTACACAGGATGTTTCGTAGTAACCTTCTTGAATATATACTGTCCCTAGGATTTTAGATGCAGGCATAGTTTGAAATGCGTATTTACAAAATAGATACAGCAAAAAAACGCCCTTTTAAGTTCCATTCCCACCCAAATTTAACAACTAAGGAACAATTCTGTGCTTTCTTACTTATTTGAACACTAAGCATAATCATAACAGGACAAAGCGGACTTCACGAGTCCAGGTGGTTAGGTTATATACACTGGTGTGCAAAACTTAAGCTGTTTCTCGTGCCTGGAATGCCTTTAAAACCACTGGTACGGAAGGTTGGTGGTGGCCGTCCAAGGAAAACAACACCAAGAGATGACCGTTACATTGTCCTCCAGGCGAAAAGAAACCGTTTTCAGTCAGCGAGCGCCATATCTCAGCAACTATGAACAGCCACAGGACGACAAGTATCAAAATTTACAGTGGCCAGACGCTTCCACAAAGGTGGCTTATTTGCTAGACGTCCTGAACGCTGCATATCTTTAAAAGTTAGCCATTCGTGACACCGTTTAGAGTGGTGCCGAGAACATGAAACCTGGACACCTCATCAATGGAGTCGCGTCCTCTTCACAGATGAGAGTCGTTTTAGTGCTACAAGCGATTCTCAACGTCAGTTGATCTGGAGAGAGGTTGGAGTTCGATTTCATCCCAATAACATCGCGGAAAGAGATCGTTACGGTGGTCCTGGAGTTGTCGTCTGAGGTAGCATTATGTTAAACGGGCGGACTGAGCTTCAGATCTTCGACCGAGGTTCTGTAACTGGAGACCGCTACTGCAATGAGGTAATCCTACCCCATGTGCGTCTGTTCCGAGGGGCCATTGGACCAGACTTCATTTTTATGGTTGACAATGCCCGGCCACAGCATACTGCTAATGTTCAAGAGCTACTGGAAAGTGAAGATATCACACGAATAGATTGGTCAGCTTACTCTCCAGATCTAAATCCCATAGAGCATGTGTGGGATGCATTAGGGAGACGTCTTGCGACACGACAGTATCCTCCTGGTAACACCCATCGGCTGAAAGATGCGTTAAAGGAGGAATGGAGACGTTTACCCCAAGAACTCCTGGATAATCTGGTGCTTAGCATGGAGAGACGATGCCAAGCAACAATTACAGTAAGGGGAGGGCATATCCCATTCTAGGGAACATCTGTCGGTTGTACTTACGCTTCTTCAGGAAATCATGTGTAACGCCACTATATGTCAAATAAAGCCTTCTTTTGTTCCATACCCTACTTTAAGCTTTATATTCATTTCTGCGCAATTATTCTTTTTCCATCGTTTAAGTAGAAAATAATGTACATCATATTCAAATTTCATGTCAATCGGATGATTTCTTGTAGAGTTATAAAAAAAACGCACTTGTTGCTTAAGTTTTGCACACCAGTGTATATATCATTCAGTGTATATATCATCAGTGTATATATCATTCAGAACTTTGTGTCATTAGGATAGTTTTAAAATTCTAAATTCCTGAAATTTTTTTTTTTTTTTTGGGGGGGGGGGGAGAATTAACTACCAATATTATAGCACTCTTGGCAAACTTTAGAAAAACAAGTAATGATTATTAGTTTTTTTTTCTTAGAAAAAAAGAAAGAAAAAAAGACTCATTTAGTAAACTGTACCAAGTGATTGATGCAAACGGTCTATTTCCCGTTACGAATTTATTTGGATTCATTAGTTTATTCATTGAAAAAAACAATACTCATAAAAAAAATTTTAAAAAACGGAATGCTATGTCCAATAGCTATGTCCATTTTCCTAAACGTTTGTTTCAAGCTGTGTTCATTTTCATAAACACACATTTCGAGCTGTGTCCATTTTCGTAAACACGCATTTTTTAGCTATGTCCATTTTCGTAAACACGCATTTTTTAGCTGTGTCCATTTTCAAAAACATGCTTTTGGAGTTGTGTCAAAATTTAAAATCTCACCGACCAACAAGTTACCGCTAGAGCTTGAAAACCGTTAAGATGCGCATTACCAAACAAATCTGCAGATTAACTGATAATTTCAGATAATTTGCATATAAACAGCTTCCGTATCGTTAAAGTTTAAAAGATTGATTCATTTAATTTCCATTAATTTAATTCTCATAGTACTCTTTTAATTGTAATAATACTTTTAATTGTCTGATTCTGTAAATTATAGTTATTTAATAGTTTGATGATTGATTCTATCCACTGATTTCTTGATTGTATTAACTTGATTCTTCAGATATCGAAAATTCAATGTATAACATTATTTTCATTGAACAGAAACTTCACTGCTGTTCCAGTTATAAGTTCTTTTTTTCCCTTTTGAAGTAGTAAATAAAAGTTGAAGTAGTTAGTATACGTAAGTTGTGTCAGTAAGTTGTATAAGTAAAAGTATGAAGTATAAGTAAGTTGAAGTAGTCTTTTTTTCTCTAGTAAGTAATGAGCAAATTTTCTGAGTAATGTACAGATCTCAAGGCATAGAGCGTACGCCTTCGAATGAGGTGAACCGGATTTGAATCCCAGCGATAGCTGGTCGATACGAATTCCACACCTGGCTCGCACCAACCACATTGCTGACATTAAATATCCTCAGTGATAGATAGATCATGGGTCAGAATCAAGTTGCCGTCAGGCTAACCATGGAGGTTTTTCGTGGTTTTCCTTTCCATGTAACTTAAATGCGGGTTAGTTCCATCAAAACGTCCATCACGAAGGCAAATTTCTCTCAATATTTAACCAGGAGTTTCCTCGTCTTCCTTATTTTGTTCAAAATTACACGGTCATTAGTAGTAGTAAACCCGAAAATTGGGTCTGCAGTTCAACGACGGTTACAAAGCATAAAAATCTGTAAATTAACTGCTTTCTATACTTTAGCTGTCAGATAAACAGGATTTTTCGAAAAAAGGACCAAATTTAATTTATTTGTATTTAATGAAGTATAAACTGAAAGTTTAAATTAAGCGAAGTTTAGGAAAAACTAAAGAGTATGAATAGTACTACAAAAAAAGTTAGGGCATAATTTATGAAACTGAAATTTCCCAGCGGTTTTTCATGCAGTTATTTACGCAACCACCACCCTCGGAGCCATTAGCCCGTTAACTCTTTAACGCAGATAGAACACCGGTGCTCCTTTTAAATAAGTACTTTTCTCTGACGCTCTAATTACAAGCAAAAAATATATTTCGGTATTTTTTAATTATAAAAAAAAACAGTCTAATGGTAACTAAAAAAATCTGTCAGAAACTATCGGAAATATATTTGTACTAAAATATAAAAAAGCTGTTCGAAAGCTTTTTTTTTATTCATAATCAAAAATTTATTAAGAATTGATTATTTTAAATTAAAGAAATTTCAATGGGAAATAACTGCTTCTCTTAGATCTAAATAACTGCAAATAAATTCAAATTTGAAAAATTATTATTTGAAACTGAGCCTTGTTTGAAACATTTTAGCTTGAACGCAGAAAAGACACTGGAGTTTCTTGCTGTATTTCATTACCATAAATTATTAAAAAGCTAAATATAACATTTTTCACTTATTTTAACCTAAGTTTTAAGGAAAAATATGTTTCATAAAACTTCTGCGTCAAAAGGTTAACGCAATTAGCATTGCCCTAGCGAAGATAAGCAAAACAAAAAAGAAACTTCCTCGTCTTTTCAGTACTGCTAACTTGTTTGCATCCAACTCTTATTTCGTGAAATACAAATTAATTAAATTTTGTTCCTCATTCTGAATAATCTAGTATTTTCAGTGTCCTTATTTAAAATGAAAGCCAAAAAAAGTACAACAATACTTATAAAAAATTCTGGATCAAATTAAGATAAGAAGAACTGGCACCCTGAGTGTCTGTATTTTTTATATACCATAAAATCCTTGAATCACTGAAAAAAAGGGCAAGAAAAGCTTTCTGATATAGTAGATGAATCATCATTCACTAATTAAATGCAAAAAGCGTTCTTAAATCGAAAATAAATTCAAATTCTCAAGGTTTATTTTAGATTTTATGACCATCAGCTGTAAAACAAGGTTTATTATCGCAGACTTGTTTATACTTTCTTTAAGGGGTCACAGTACCTTTGCAACAATTTTTTTAAATAAAGTTATTATTATTCATTTTGTGGATGCTTTACATGCTCATTTAACTTATAATCAATAATTTATCTTCAAAAAATAATTAAACTGTTTAAATTTCTAAAAAAGTTGAAAAAATTCAAAAACTTTAAATCCCGAAGGCTTTTTTATTTTATCATGTTTTCAAAAAAAATTTTCTTTCGTAGTGCTTAAAAATATTGTGCATTTATTTGCTGATATATCAATTAGAATATTGTTTATAGATTACTTTGTAAAAAAGTAAAAAAAAAAAGGGTAAAAATTCCTGTTAGGTATATATAACATGCTGTAAAAATTGTAATACCTCATGAAAGACTTATTCCATGCACAATTTAAATAAGTGTATTATACTTAAAATAAAAATGTTTACTTCAAAGCTTTATCTTAAATAGAAAAAATTCCTTAGGGATTTAATTAAGATTAAAACACGAAATTATCATCTATGAGAAAAAGCACTTTAAATTCTGACTGTTGAGCAAGTTTCTGCATTCGGACAATCTAAAATCATTCATAACTTTTTTAAAAATGTAGGTAGAGAGATGATTTTTTTTTCAGTGCATTTGAAATAGTTTGAAGTTAAAAAAAATTTTAACAAATTTGGTATTTTTGTAATTTTTTGGATACTGTCGCATTTGAGAACCTGGAAAAAGCCAGGGAGAAAGAATGGCAAAAATAAAGCCAAACAAAAATTATATTTTTAGAGATTTTTTTTGTATTTTTTTATTTAATTTTTAAAGAAACAAGCTTGGCATGCTAGTATTTCTACTGAGTTCAAAAAAGGATTAATTAGTCAACATTTCTATGCTAAACAAATGAAAATAAAAATACACCATTTGCCATAAGGTTACCCTGCTATCTGGCCTACAGTCTAAACTGCTTAATCCTAGCTGAGTTCAATACCAAATAAACCTAACACGATGTGATTGATACAGAATTCCACGTTACAAACCAGTGTCATTCATTGTTTGTTCGTCACGTCACGGTGACAATCGAGATTCACTTCCAATATATTCCCTTGCGCTGATATTATGTCAATTACAGTAAGGGGAGGGCATATCCCNAATTTGAAGCAAATTTATATATTTATTATCTATCCAATTTTAACCTATTTGTACCTAGTTTCCCCTAAAAAGGCGTTTTTTTTAATAATGAAAATTTGTGTAACAAGTATTTTATAAGCATTAAATTTGCAAGCTCTGATTTATCATACCATATTAATAATAATAATAACATTTACATATCGGTCAGAAATCAAAACACAATGCCATTTCAAAGCTATAGCTGTATGCAACAGAATGAAATATTCATTTAATTTGACATATAGGTACTATTACTTGTTTTAAAAATTACCTATTTTACTTCGTTGTAAAATGTTTTATTAGTTTTATTTATTAACAGTTCTCATACCTGTATTAAATCTCCACAGTTATAGTTATCGGTAAATTTGCGAATCGATATTAAACAAATCTTTGCACTGGAGAGAGTTTAGTGAAAGCGTGAATCATTGAATTTGCACGTAAGTGGATCAGCGAATCTGTCTATCATCAAATCAGTGACGGGAAAAATCAGTATATAAGAAATAAAAAATATATAACCAATAATTTCCAATACGTTTTTCGGCGACCACAATTTTTTAAATTTTAGTTTTTACAACTAAGTTGTCGGTCGAGTTGACTGTTAGTATCAAACTCTCCCTTTCGTCATCGAAGACCTCAATGTGAAACTCACCAAGAGATATTTGAAAGGCGTGTCGCTCTGAGTGCAATGCTGAGAAGACACGTCATCAGTGTTGAACATAATAGATCTGTTGCCTTCGAGCTAACTGTGGGAGGTTTTAGTGAATCTCTTCTCTAACAGGCAAAACGTAAATCGTTTCGTTTATGTTTTAATAAGTTTTAATCTGTTTGATTTTATCCTACGAAATGCTTTTTTATGTATGTTTTTAGAATTTTTTTGTTTTAGTACAAAATTAACCATTTTACGACATTTTAAAAACGCTTTTGATGCTTCAGTAATGAAAAGAAACCCTGTCAATAAGTGTGACAATAAATCTACATATTTGATGACATAAATATATGATGACATAAGATCTGAAAATTATTATATATTGCAGTTAATTCTCTGTAAAATTCGCAGTCCTTTTGAAGACTCAAAAGGACAAAACCGAATGCATTCCTAGAGAATATTTTTTCTTAATTCTGCAATGAGCTTCTAAATTTAATAAAAAAATCGTAAATCTGTCAATATTTGATAATTTTTAATGACTTAAAGTAAATAATGATTTATTATTTAAGTAAACAGTCTAAATTATGATTACCTTCTTGTTGCTAGAACGTCGGAGCTGAGATACTTTTTGACTTGCGTAATGTCTAACTGTAAAAATTCTGGCGTTCCTACTATTTGCTCGAATCTTATACACATAGCTTCTAAAGCTTTGTCCTCAGTGTCCTTTAAGTCTAATTTTTGGGAAATGGTGTAAACATACACACAGTGAACTTCGGGAAAACAGTTCCCTTTTAATATCTAAAATAAATATTCCCTATTAATAATTAAAAGAATACTTAAGACAAGTATAGGGATAGTGTAGATATTTATAATAAATTTGCCAAAGCAGTTAATTAAGCATCATTTTATACATATCTGGTATTTTTTTTTTTTTAATTTGAAATTTTATTTTGATTGTAAGTGATATTTAAGTTAAATCATACGTATATTTTAATAACATTTTTCATTTTAAAGAAGTTTTTTTAAATATTACTCTGAAAAAAGTACGGTAAAAACTACCAGAATATGGTTAAATTCACCATGCTTCTGATTCTTGAAAGACACCAAAAAGCTCAGTAATTTTTTTCCGATCCACTTTGGTAATGGTTTTGGAAAAACTATCAACAAATGCTGTTTTATAATATGGGGAAAACTTGGTAAATGTGCTAAAATTTGTTAATTTTATCATGATACCTTCGCATGGCATTGAACCCATCCATTCGGTTAAATTTACTTTCAATTTGTATTTTTTTTTTCTAAATTTATGATAATAAGAACTAAAATTTTGAAAACAGAACTTTAGGTAAGCCATTACTAATGATCGGAAAAATTACCAAAGAAATGATTTAAATACCGTATATTTTGCATTTATAAAACAGAATTATGCTTTTTTTTTACCAGAAATTTCAATACTGTACTGTAGGGTAAGATTTTTCTTTTCTCCGCGTACAGTCAGTACATTTGATCCGGGTACATTTGATCGCTTAAGACAATCATGAATTAATTAAAAAAATTCATAAGTAAATGAGACTTTTATAATATGTAATACATATTGTCTACTATCAATTAGAATAATAATTTAAAGCAATCTAAAAGAGCGATGAAAAAACAAATTCAGGACTAGCCCCCCCCCCTCCAATAAAGAATGCTTTTCCCTATGTTTGAAAGCAATTGAGAAATACATGTAGTTAATGGAAAGAGTACAGAATATAGCAGCATATTTTTTTTTCTAATTTTCAGAAAAACATATTGACGTGTTTCTAAATAATCATAAGCAATTGAATAATCCCCTTGAGTTCTGCGTATTTATTGCGTACATTATTCTAATGTATCAAGCATAATTTTTCATATAAATAATCGCTTTCAAACATAATTAATATTTTTTTATAAATAATCGTATTTGTAACATCCACCAAAATGAAATGTCAATGCTGAGGAAATAAACTGTTAAAATTTCCAGTTAGTTTCAGAAACAATAAAATAGCTTTTGTAATATAAAATTAAAATTAAAAAATATTCTACAGAAGGATTACTACATAACTAGATGTAAGTTTTTAAACATACGATGCAGATCTATGTCACTACATGCATACATCGTTATGCAAGGATTTAAGAGCCGAAAAACAAAACCATTAAAAAATGAATTGTGTGATTTTAAACAAAATCTTAGACCTCTGCACAGGCTTCTACGGCGTCATACATTCCTAATTTTTGAGCAGCAATGTAGACGTCCCCCAAGTTCTGCACATTTACGTGTAATTCCGCTTTGTACATGAAATTCAACAAAATTTCAAATGCTTCATTTGTCACAGAATCCAATCTTACCTGCAAATAATCCTATGTTATAGAAAAACTAGTGTAATTTGAAGTATAAACAAAACAGTGTACACGTTTCTGTAACAAACTTTAAAACATTATATCATGGATAAATAAAACAATATTATTTATAATGACTTGCTAATTTTTTAAGAATATTGCCTTCTTATACTAATTTAGGGGAACATTTATACTTATTGTTTCTGTCCATTAAAATTTTATGAATTGTTAGTTTAATCATTCAAATAAATTTTTCATTTAAAATAATTTTTAAAATTCCTTTAACCAACGAACTTTTCAACAATTAGAAAACAGATAATCTAAAGCAGCAAGAATCTTAAAATGCAAAATTCTGAAAAATTTCAGCTTTTTATATCTCATATTGAGAAACATTTCTCCACAACGAAACTGGGGAGCTAGAAAATTTTAAACCTCATTAATGAAGCCGAGTTTGGAATTAGCAGAATTAGACTGAAAATATTTTGATCATGTGCGTATTTTACTGGAATTAATTGCAGCTTATTCAAAAGTTTAGAGCGAGTTTATCATATTTCTCATATTCTACAAAAAATGCACTAAAATTCAGGAAATAAAATTTAATTCATTAAAATTATAAATATAATAAAAATATTCTATAGTTGAACACATTTTGTAAAATTTTCAACTAAATCGGATAAATTGGAAGAACTATCGCGATTGCAATTAATAAAACGTTGTGTAGAGAAAACGCGATTTAGCGTTTGTGAAATTATATTTAAATGCATGTAAACTCTAAAAGCGATGTTTATTTCTTATTTATGTGAGTTTTTGTTTGCACTTTTAGGGCAATTCTTTACACGAGCAAACTTTCAAGATGGTTTTTCACAGCGGTAAACATTTAGGACAATGTTTTCTATCGTATTATCTAAATAGATGAAATTCAAAACTCCATAGTGCTGCTCTCTTAAGAGGATACAACTAAAGAGAAATTTNTATATATATATATATATATTGTGACCCTGATGCCCCTCAGATAAACGAAATAAATTAGCTTTCAATATTTTCACCATGTTCCTCTCAGAAGGCAGAACTTGATTTGTGACTGTTCCATTATTCCTAGTAACCCACCCAGTTCCGGAATTATCTGAACTTCTCAACATTGCAATAACGAGTTCAAAGTTGTAATTTTAACTTTATGAACCGAATGGGTTTAAAATTAAAATTAAATTAATAAACTAAATTGCTTATCTGTAAATTATTTATCTCTCATTTTTAATTCATTTTTTGAAATTCGATTTCGTTGTTTGTTTGTTTGTTTCTGCTCAATGCGACAATTGAAACCAAGAATTTTCAAATAAGTCGGCAATGAAGAATATATTTCTTCTGCTGGGGAATGAGTAAGGGATGATTTCGTGGCTGTTGTCCCCAAGGAAACGTTAAAACTCGTTTGAAATAAATACATTTTTCTTAAAATTCAGACACAAAAAAAAATATTATTTTTTATTTTAATTGTAAATTTAATTACATGAATATTGAGGGAAAAATTGTTATCTTGGAAGTGGCTAAGTTCCTTCATTTATAAAATGGGAATAAGCCCCCTCGATGCCACCAACCTTGATAATATTTGTAACTGATTATTGCTTAGTATATACTGAGCTCTGGGACTTAACTTCAAAAATATCCCTGTAGTGAATGCCAGAAAAGTGTATACCTGACTATTCGATTAATGCGCGCTTATCACATATACTAAAAGACTGGGATATTATTTACTAATACCGGTTATTAATTACAATACCCGGTTGAAACGAAATAAATACCCAGCAATGATGCGGCTATTTTGAGGCTTACTCTTGCCCGATATTTCCTACACTGATGTTTCCTAAAGTAAAGTTCCATTGCTTGATACAAATGTTTTTTTTTTCATTGCTAAGGGCGTTTGCAAAATCTACATTTGTTTGTTATTCTCTACAATGATGCTTTTCCTAATCTATCCCAATGGGATATTATTAGTATTAAGCAAATATTAAAATATGAGATAAATTAATATCTTATAATTTTATAACAGTCATTGAACAGCCGGCCCAATTTTTATGGGTTTACGAATACTAATGTTCAATTCCGTAGCCTTGTAATTTTGAACCCACTCCAGAAGACAAGGGAACTCCTAGATCAAGTATAGAGAGACATTTTGCCTTCGTGGAGGACTTTTTAATAGAACTAACCCGCATTTGCGTTACATGGAGAGGAAGACCATGAGAATCTCCCATGGTTAGTCTGACTGCAAAGGGACTCTAACCCATGATCCGCCTACCTCAGAGGATATTTCATGTCAGCAATGTGATCGACGCAAGCCGGATGCGGATTCGTATCGACCAGCCATAGTGGGATTTGAACCCGGTTCACCTCATTGGAAGGCGAACGCTCTATCCACTGAGCCATCGTGTCTCTAGCTAAATTAATAGTAATTAATACGTAATAAATATTCCACAGAAATTCAAAAAAAGATTGAGTGAATGTCGTTACTCACCCGAATTATATTGACATTCGCCATTACATACAGGTCATTAATATAAAGTTGCGATTTCAATAAATACGTGGTATTTTAAGAAATAAAAGCAAATTGAGAAAAGAATTTAATTTAAATGTGTCTCTCGTAGACTTCTTCATAAAAAAAAAGTTATAAGTATGTGAAAAATATTATTTAAAGTAAAAC